ACAAAACAAAAACAAAATCCAAAGCCTTAAACAGATTTAAAAAAAAAGATAACAACTGTATTCAGGCTGGATGTTGGTTTTGGACTACTGTACTGATGTAGTTTGTCAGTGGTTTTGACAATACTTGGAGATGATTGATTGGCGTAATTGGGAAAGGGACTGGCATCTGTGGATGCTAGACATCAAGGATGGCTAATACAGAGGGCCATCCTCTCCTCCCCTGACAGAGAATTATCTGGTCCAAAACATGAACCATCCGGAGGCCAAGAATCCTTGATCTACATTAATCTGACATGAAGCAGTCATGTACTGAATGCCTCCTGTGCTGAAGAGCTGATCTGACGTGGTGATGGAGGCACAGATGTTAACGCTGTCTGCTAAGTGCCGCAGGCTGCAGGGGTGGGGGCTGGGGGGTGGAGGGGATACGCAGCACATCGCTGAGCTGTGGGCTCTCACTGTTTTGATCGCTTCCATTGTACACATCTGAGACCCCTGGCTTTATAAATGTTAAAATAATCAACATCTAGGTGCACATGCTAAAACCGGTAAGTTTGAAGATGGCAACTTTAAGCAGAAAATAGAAAGAAACTGCAGTTTTATTCATGGATCTAGTGCCCAACACAACTCTTGTAAAGACATTTGGACCTCATGTGTTCACACAGAAGTGTCACATGCTCTCTCTCAGTACTGTCATTTCCATGGGGCACACATGAGTTGGGTGGCCAAAGAGCAGGTGACAGATTCGGACAGCACAGTTGTGGACTCACTGATGCTGTGACTTAGACCTTTGGTCCGTTAGGACAGGGGTCATCTTAGGAGCAGACTAACATGGGCCTTAGAATCGTCTCCTGTCACGTGGGAAGGGCTACACTCTGCACCACAGCTGCCAACCTGCTGTTTCCTACATTCCCTCACTTTGGATATTAGTCACTGAAGGAATAACTTACATCCCCCCCCCAAAAAAAGACAGATCAGAGAATGTAAAATAATTTTGTTTATTAAAGATTTCATGTTGCCTTTGGTTTTGCAAGACAGGGTCTCATTTTGTCTGGGCTGGAACTCACCATTTCAGAGGCGAGCTTCAAGCTCCTGATTCTCCTGCCTCCACCGTCCGAGTGCACGCTGCGGTGCCTGGCTTTGGTATCACCCTTTAGAGAGTAGTTCATTTGGGGCTGGGGAGAGGGCTCCATGGGCAAGCTACTTGCCAGGAAAGCAAGAGGACCCGAGTTTGACTCCAGAACCTGCCTAAAAAGAGCCAGGTACAGTGGCCTGTGCTTGTGATCCCAGCGCTGGGTAGATGGAGACAGGCTCCCTGGGGCTCTGGCCAGCCAGCCTAGACAACTAGGAGGGCTCTAAGCCAGGTGAATACATCGTGTCAATTAAAAAAAAAAAAAAAGTGACCGGTGCAGGAAGAGCTGTGCATGCGCGCACACACACTGAGTGAAGACAATGGACTGGTGCATTTGTTTGTAGGAAGGTCAAGCATCCACCAGATGGCACTAAACACTTACTTCCTAACTTCAGTGCCCTGAGATACAGTTAATTAGAAACAGCCTGTGAAGAGGACAGGCTTGAATCCCACACCTGTGTTCCAGTGCTCCCAGAGGGGGACGCAGGAGCAGAAGGTCGCACCCCTACCCCACCCCACCCCACCCCACCCCAGCAGCTGTATAGTGAGCGTGAGGCCAACATGAGCTACAGGAGACACTTTCTCAAACAAAGAAACAAACGCCAACCAAAACAAAAAGCTGAAAACACAACTACAATAAGGAGAAGAAAAAGGACATTTGCTTCCAAACTGTGGACTTCTTTCCTGGGACCCCAGGACCTGTTGCTCTTGCAGTCCTGTTGAGTCTCAGCCCCCAAAGTCTCCAAAGGATCTGGTGCCCTCTCCTGGTCTCCACGAGAACTGCGACTACATGCACAAACCTGTGGGTGTGTCTACCCCGCCCCCACTAAAAAAAAAAAAAAGAAAGAAAGAAAAGAAAGCAAGAATGTAAGCATGCATCGCCAGCGCCTGTGACTTCAGTCCATTTCTTGCTGTTGTGCAGATGGAAGGCTGTGGTCTCTACAGCTGGCGTTGTGACTCTCTTGACGCTTGTCATCATGCGATCGATGATCTGACTTTCTCTTCTCCACGTCACATCATGCTTAACTGTTTGTCTTTGGCAGCTGATGAAGACCGTGTCTTTCAGTATTGCCAGTAATCTAATCTACATTCTTCTCCTTTTGCCATTCCCATGGCTCTGTGGACCGTGAATTTGATCTTGGCTAGCTCACTGCCTTATAAATGTAGTAAATACTCCTAAAGCTTGGCGTATTTTACAATAAAGCAGTGATTTTTTTTCCCCAGTGCAGGGGTTAAAACTTGAACAACAAGCATGTCTTTCTGTCACAGTTTCTATACTTAGATGCTGCTGAATATAAACATATAAGATTGATTTTATATCATTCAGTTAAAAGCCTTATTTGTCTTGCGTGATCTTCCTTTTAGCTTAAAAGCCTCTTGGTGTGGGCCCTAGACCTAGGGTGATCTTCCTTTCAACATAAAAGCCTGTCTGGTGTGACTCTCACAGCGCTCTGCCATGCAGCAGTTACTCAGGGGGTGTCTTCCATCCCTCGGACTTAGCGCTCTCACAGTGACACCTCATGACTTTGTGCGAAGTTCCTCACTCAGTGGGCCCAGTGCTCCTCTGTGAAGAAGGATGAAGAGTGTTTCTCAGCAGCAGAATTGTGAAGTTAAATGAATGAACTCTCAAAAACATTTTTCAAAAGTATCACACGAGACTCTGCAAACAAGTCCCATTTTTCTCTCTCACGTGGTGTTTCTTCAACCCACCCTTCAAGGATTACCTCAAACACCATGAGCAATTCTTGAATAAATTTGCTCATCATAGACCCCTCTCTTCCTCTTCTGACCTATATTATTTACAAATCATTCATTTCTGCCTCCTAGCTCTGGTCACATTCTGCTTTGTAGGATAGCTGACTGTATTTATGTCTTATTTTCCTCCCTAGGTCACAGGGTCAGTAGTCAGGGACAGGACTCTTGGTGAAATACCACTTGACATGAGTTTTGCCCTTAGAACTGCTCTGTCAGCGTTTATTATAGGCTCTCTCTTTCCCTTGTGCCAGATTTATAATTCAGTTTTTAACATAATGCAATGTTTTCCATTAAAGTCTAAGAAGATCCAGGAACTTCCCCAGGACATCCTTTTCTTCCTTCATTAGCAACATTCTTTTCCTGTACATCCTTTGCGGATGACTTTGATAACTATGGCTGTTACTCTGTTTGTAGAAGGGACACAGCGGTAGAATTTGAGGTGTGTGTTTTATCGTCAACGGTAATGGTGGCAAATGCATGTGGCTGTGAGTTTACGTGGGTGTTTTTCCTTCTCTGTAGCGACAATACTAACAAAAGCAATTTAAGAGAAGGATGGTTCATTCTGGCTCACAGTTGCAGGATGTGGCATGTCCTGGTTGGAGGGCAGAGAACATGGCCTGCATCTCAAAGGGCACGAAACGTTTTGCATTTGGCTTAGTTGTGCCAATTCCTGTTTCTGTGCAGATCCGGCTTGTAGACGTGCTGTGGTTTTGAGGTTGGCTTTACGTTTTGTTACCTGGAACTAATTATTCTAATGTGACCCTTAGATACAGTTTGGTTAGCTTTGTATAAGTCACTTGTCTGTTGCTGGATAAGACAAAAGCAATTTAAGGAAGGAAGGGTTTATTTTGGCTCGCCGGTCCAGGCTACATCCATCATGGCGGGGCAGGGGCTTGCGGTGGTTGGTTGGCCACGTGGCGTCACAGTCAGAACAAGGAGGGATGAGTGCTGTGCTCAGCTTGCTTTCTCCTTTTAGGCAGTCCAGGAACAAACTGTGTCTCTTACTGTTATGGGCTCTTCTCACCTCAATTAACATAATCAAGACAATCCCTCACAGGTGTGCTGGAGGGCTTGCACGTCCAGATCCTGCCTTAAGGAGGATTAATACTGACCTCCACAGCAATATGTATGTGTGTGTCTATATATGTGTGTGTGTGTATGTATGTCTGTAAGTATGCATATATATATATACATACTTACAGACATACATACACATATATATACACACACAAAGTTCCCTGTGTGTATTATTCCACATATATATGGAATAATGAACACAGATAATCATAAAGAACTAAGGTAATTTCAACGAAGGTCAAACATGAGTACAAAACCAATATCCACGTCAGCATCCGTAAAAGCACCACAGATGAAAGCCCCTCCCTGGCCTGAGCAGAGCGGCAAGGGTGGGTAGATTATCTTTCTGTTCCATATTTTTATTTCTGTATTACAACACTTCAGTCGTCTTTCTAAATCCTCAGCTGCAGGGCAGCTGTGTGTTTGTCACGAAATCCCACTGACTGTTCATAGCAGAGGTGCCATCTCTACATTCTCGTGCAGCGTGGTTCCAGTGGGCAC